GGACTTCCGGATGTTTCTTATGCCCCGCACCCCGTTCTTGAAAGCAGCTCGCCCACCGATACTTATTTGGAGGTCCGGTCCCTGTCCAGCAGCGACAACGGTTGGAGTACTATCGACCACCGCCGCTCTCTTGATTTTGGGTATCCCGAACAAGGTGTTTTCGTCAACCCCACCCAGACACTGCACGACCGCAGTCTTTCAGAGTCTTCATATTCCACATCATACGGCAGCTTCGTCGATATCACGAATCCGATCGGTTCTCCCGGTTCCGAGAATAATATGGATTTGCCCTGCTATAATCACCATGGCCACGGCCACGGCCATAGTCATAGCCATAGCCATACTCACAGCCACAGCCACAGCCATAGCTATAGTCACAGCAGCTCCATTGGAATGCACGGTACCTCCCCGACAAGCAGCGCAATTGTCCTTCGTGACCAGTCTTCGCCAGGCTCTCGCTCGCCTTCCGCAGTCAGCCCCATCGGAATGGTGCGGCCGATCCCTGTTCCGATCAAGAAGTCAACATCCCCTGCTCGATCCGCCGGGTCCTCCCAAGCGTCTGCCTCACCACCGAGCCGGAAACCGTCCCGCAAGAGCCCCATTGCCGCCAAGACCGCCGAGACCAAGGTTCGTAAGCAGTCCCAGACCGGCAAGCCCGAGACCGAGAAACGTGTTGGCAAGAGAAAGGGCCCGCTCAAGCCCGACCAGCGCAAGCAGGCCAGCGAGATCCGGAAGTTGCGCGCATGCCTGCGCTGCAAGTTCCTCAAGAAGACATGTGACAAGGGCGAGCCTTGTGCAGGATGCCAACCGTCGCACGCACGGTTATGGCAGGTGCCATGTACTCGCATTGATATCAAAGATATTGGGTACTTCATGAAGGACTGGAAGGCGGATTACGAGCGCCACATCACCATGGGCTTCTCGGTCGGCAACATTACCGGATTCTCAGATCAGGAACGCACCCTGTTCATCACTCATGGTTACGGACAGATCCTGCCCATCAACGCCCGCGAGGTCTATGTCCGGGACGAGCAGTGCTTCACCGTTGACTGGATCGAGTCGATGCACCGTGAGCCAACACAATACGACGTCGAGACTGCCAAACTCTCCGCTGGTATGGAGGGCATCTCGCACGCGATGCTGTCGGATTACCTTGACCGCCACATCGACGGCAATGGCACCTTTGAGAAGTTTGTCGACGATTACTTCGAGGGCACTCCTTTCTTGACGCAAATGCTGAAGACCGCCTTCCGCTTCTACTTCCGCACTAAGCTGCCCGTTATCCGGAAGGCGCTCAAGCTGGTCGTTGCTTACAACCTCACCATGCATGTCACCATGGTCGAAGGCATTGGCGAGGAGGAAGGCTTCCTCGGCAAGATCGACAAGATGGGCTCCAAGTTCTCCGGCAAGACCATGGCCCCTGTCATGATTAACTTCCAGATTAAATGTGCCATGGCCAGCATGTGGCGTGAGCTGCAGAAGGATGTGCTGGAGGAGCTGTCAGCACTTTACTCCAGTGTGTACAGCGGCGACAAGTTGAAGAACTGGCCGACAATTTTCATCCTAGCCTCTATTCTGCTGGCCGTGTGGGAGGAGATGCAGTTCGACAGCCACTACCGGACGCCGGACGCGGCTGCTGTCGACAAGTTCTGCACCGATATGGAAACTACCCCGGTGGGTGTCATCGTCGGACTGTTCCAGGCCATCTCCCAGAAGCTACCCCCGTTCACCGAGTGGGACTCACAAAAGCACCACCAACTGTTGTACTCCAACCCGGATGTTTGCAACACCATGACTGAAGTCCGCCAACATGTCGAGCAACATGGTAAGAGACAAACTCTTCCACAACCTTCCGCTTTGATCTCCGAAATTAACCCCTGTCTGCAGAAACCTACCTCCGCAGCCGCACCGGCACGAAATTCAACCGTGGCGACTTCGACTGCCTTTCAAATAAGTTTGTGTCGCGACTGGTCATTCGCGCCAGCTAGACAACGACCCCGTTGCGCAAACGCATTATGATGATGATATTTCCCACGACCATCGTTTTCAGCGAGTACAGTTCCACGATTTCGTTTTGAATGCCAAATGTTACCACTGAGAATATGTGAACCATTGTCGTGACGATGTGCGAGCGCATCTATTTCCGCTCTTTAACGAAGAATCCGACGGGTCCCCTCCCAGCGAGGTTCTACCCCTTTTTTGTATTGTTGTTCCGAGCGAACCGACTTTCTTTTGATCTAGCTTTTCTTGAGCCGTGTTGGTTTTTTTTTCTTGGTTCTTGTCTTTTGTCATATTTACCTTTTCATTTTTTCCTTTATGATTGTTTTTCTTTGGTTTTTTTTTTTTGCTCTTGTCTTTGGTGTATACCTTTCTTCGCATAGCTTTGTCTCCAGCGATGAACGAGGATCACGAATGTCATGACCGTGTACGGCCGAAGGTGTTTCTATTGTTTTGTTTTCATTTTTCTGGCATCTGGCACCCGCCACGGAACAGGCCAACAATTCAAGTTAAAAACAGGGCCCTGGGAAAGGGTGTGCAGGCTGTCTTATCCCGGAACTGTCACATTCTTTGTGGTGGTTTGGGGACAAACGGCGTCGGAGGGATATTTGCGAGAGCGTTTTTGTTTATACATGGGCATTACGCTCTATATCTCGAAAGTTTTTAACTCCATAACTTTGAATTCTTATTTCTATTTCGTTTTGTTATTCTCATTGTTGACTATTTGAACTATAAAAGGACGAAAAGACCGGTGAACCCGGATCCGGTGATACTAAGTTTGGAAGCGGGTACTGGGTACCCGGGAGACCGCAGCAGTTGCCGCGTACAGCCCCGTACCCTGTACTTGCTGATCACTAGCGTCCCCATTAAAAGGTCCACCCCCTCTTTTGGCGATAAGCACGTCAACGTCATCACTTGGGGATCTTGAACAAAGGGGACTTGAGGGATATATGAGAGAGAACATATAAGAGACCCAACACACAGTAGAAGATCATAGAATGTTAATGTCAATAATAGCCTATTTGTAGCCCTGGAGGTCATATCCAATGAAATATAGATTTCGGAGTTTTCCAGGTGGCGTCAAATGAAGTGATAGGCTGTTCTCAGGCACCCCCGTTTGACTCATCCGGCATCTTCTGGCATTTTCACGGCGTCACGGGCACCTGACTAAGACACCTCGCCCCCTCATCCTCCAAGGTTTCCTACATAAGGACGCTGTCTCCCCTCTTCTGATTTCTCCCTCTTTCATTCTCCACTTCACACTCGAGCACCCTTACCTTCAAATCATCAAATACCAGAGCTCATCATGCAGATCTTTGTCAAGACTCGTACGTTATCACCCTTATCTGGCCTCTCTAGAGATGACAGCCTCCCACCCTCTCTTGCAAGTCGGCATATGGATATCCTTGCTAACATTTCTTTGTCTCTAGTCACTGGCAAGACCATCACCCTTGAGGTTGAGTCCAGCGATACCATCGACAACGTCAAGTCGAAGATCCAGGATAAGGAGGGCATCCCTCCTGACCAGCAGCGCCTGATCTTCGCCGGCAAACAGCTTGAAGATGGCCGCACACTCTCCGATTACAACATTCAGAAGGAGTCTACTCTCCACCTCGTCCTTCGCCTCCGTGGTGGCATGCAAATTTGTAAGCATTTTCTTCTCTGACACCCTTGTCATTTTCTCTTGACTAATATTTGCCACAGTCGTCAAGACCCTGACCGGAAAAACCATCACCCTTGAGGTTGAGTCCAGCGATACCATCGACAACGTCAAGTCGAAGATCCAGGATAAGGAGGGCATTCCCCCCGACCAGCAGCGCTTGATCTTCGCCGGCAAGCAGCTTGAAGATGGCCGCACACTCTCCGATTACAACATTCAGAAAGAATCAACCCTCCACCTCGTCCTTCGTCTACGTGGTGGTATGCAGATTTTCGTGAAGACACTCACTGGCAAGACTATTACACTTGAAGTCGAGTCATCCGACACTATCGATAATGTGAAGTCCAAGATTCAAGATAAGGAGGGCATTCCCCCCGACCAGCAGCGTCTTATCTTCGCTGGTAAGCAGCTAGAAGATGGTCGCACACTCTCCGATTACAACATTCAGAAGGAATCAACCCTCCACCTTGTCCTTCGTCTACGTGGTGGTATGCAAATCTTTGTCAAGACTCTGACCGGAAAGACTATCACGCTCGAGGTTGAGAGCTCAGACACCATTGACAACGTCAAGAGTAAGATCCAGGACAAGGAGGGTATTCCTCCTGACCAGCAGCGTCTTATCTTCGCTGGTAAGCAGCTAGAGGACGGACGTACTCTTTCGGACTACAACATCCAGAAGGAATCCACTCTCCACCTGGTGTTGCGTCTGCGTGGCGGCCAGTAATTGATTTACGATTCTTTTATTTTTTTTTTCAACTTCGATAGGTTCTACATGACCTGCATGGCGTTTGGTCGATTTTCGAGGCTGAGGCTTCTTTTCTTGCAATGTGTTTCCTGAGGACGGCCGCGCTCTTTTACTTTACCCACATTATCCTCATCGATATGTGATAGATAGTTCTCTACAATTCACTCTAGCAATATTTGCTAGTCTTGACCTAGCATGCCATTTCATTGTAATATTGTAGGTGTGTAGTACTTAAACTGACGGAAGTTGACATAGAATGTTACTGTTATCAATGCAGACATTGTCTCCAACTTTACCCCACCAGCATCACACCCATCTGCAAGTCCCATATGTAATTGTGTCACCTCGGTAATTCTGTTCATCCACACCAATTCTCGCCACCACACCTTCCCAGCTAGGATTCGCCTTAGAATCTCAATCCTTCTTTGCCTCTTTGCCACCCTCGCGTGCCAGGAACCACCTGTGGCGTAAGGCGCAGAAGCGGGCGACAATCAAATATTAAGTAATCATACATCCTTATCGTGATAACACGACTTCCTCTTTCGACAGTTCCAACCAAAAGTCGGAAGCTCCAAAGGATGCGAGCCATTATCCGGGATGCCCGCTTACTTCTATCACCTTAGCTTGCAATTCCTCTCCCAAAGCTTATCCGACGCGTCGAGGTCGCAGGGATCCTCCTCTCTCGCGCTACAATCCGCATGGGAAGCTCTCCAACCATTCCAACAACGGAGCCGGTCTTCAACCTCCAACCGCCTATCACCCGCAGGAGAAAATCAAACCCCACCAAACCCAGAGCAGACTTTGGCGCATCACCAGAAGCTCATCTCCACCCTCTCCACACACGCTACACCTATCCCGCCCCGAACCACTCCCTCCACCAGCACTTCTTACAACTCCAACACGTCCTCCACTAGCTCCTCAACTAGCACCACCCCACTCGAAGACGACAAACGCTTTGGCGCCGTCTCCATCGAGTGCATTGACATGGTCACCCCAAAGCACCCGCCCAAAGGCACCTCGAAGCACGGGTCCTCCACAGAACCAGAGAACCTTGTCGCCGCAGGCATCGGCACCGACATTCTAGGCGGCCTCCGTACAAAAGGCCGATATATCCCACTCGATTACGAGCTTTCCGACAGTGTCTGGGGAATTGTGCACCTGTACCGCGACTCGCAGGAGACGCCTTACCTCGGAAACGATGACGAATACCCCGCCTACCTGAAGGGCTCCTCAGCTGCGGCCCGCCAGCCTGGCGAGCAGCAGGCTACGTTGAGGCAGGGTCTGGCCGGTGCGGCGGGTGCTAAACAAGCCGGGCCGACGGGTCTTGCGGAATATCCTTTTCCTGAGATGAGTTCTTCCTCTGCGCAGAGCCCTGATGAGGATTGTACGACATTATGTATCCTCGCTGTGCCATCTTATCTGTTGCCGCCAGACTTTTTGGGGTTTATAGGGCAGAAGACGATGGATGATGTTAGTCATTTCAGGATGATTAGGACTGCTCGTGCGAATCGATACATGGTTTTGATGAAGTTCCGGAGTGGACGGAAGGCGAGAGAATGGCAGAAGGAATGGAATGGGCATGTGTTTAATAGCGTCGAGCCCGAGACCTGCCATGTGGTTTTTGTGAAGACGGTGGAAATCCAAGTTGTGGATCCCGGAACACCAGCTGCTGAGCATGGCGCCCTCCCCTCTAACCTCTCAACCCCTTCTCGACCCCCGGTATCCTCTACCGGACAAGCGACTCTTACCGGCAAACCTCTTGCACCACCTACTCCTGCATTAATTGAATTACCAACCTGTCCCGTTTGCCTAGAGCGAATGGACGAAACCACGGGGCTCCTAACAATCAACTGTCAACACGTCTTCCACTGCACTTGTCTCCAAAAATGGAAAGGCAGCGGCTGCCCCGTGTGCCGATACACACAAGACGACTACCGCAAAAGCAACGCAGCCCTGAAGCCGGACGAAGAACCCCAAGAATGCAGCATCTGCCACTCGGAAGAAAACCTCTGGGCTTGTCTAATCTGTGGCACGATCGGCTGCGGCCGCTACGATAACGCCCACGCCTTCGCGCATTGGAAAGAAACAGCGCACGCCTTCTCCATGGATCTCACCACCCAGCGCGTATGGGACTACGTGGGCGACGCCTACGTTCACCGCATCATCCAAAACAAAACAGACGGCAAGCTCCTCGAGCTACCCGCAGCAGACCACAGCGCCCTTGACCCGCCAGATTGGGGCGACGCCGTCCCCCGCGAGAAACTAGAAAACATGAGTATCGAATACACACATCTCCTCACCAGCCAGCTTGAAAGCCAGCGCGCATACTTCGAAGAAGTCGTCGAGCGTGCCGTCGATAAAGCTTCGCAGGCTAGTGCCGCTGCCGCCGTGGCGGAAGTCAACGCTTCCAGTGCCTCGTCGTGTCTCGAAGAATTACAAGCTAAGTATGATGCCGTGACGATTGAGACACTACCGTCGCTTGAACATGATCGCGCGCGCGCAGAGAAAAAAGCAGAGAAATTTGAGGCCCTAGCGCGCTCGTTTGAGAAGGGGTTTCAGGAGGAGAAGGCTATGAATCGGAATATGTTGTTAAAGTTGGAGAATCTTGCTAAAGAGGTTGATGGGCTTAAGGTTGCGAATGCGGATCTGGCGGAGCAGAATCGCGATTTGACGTTCTTTATCAGTGGCACGCAGAGGTTGCAGGGGCAGGGTGAGGAGGTTGAACAGGGGACTGTTTCTGTGCCTGAGCCTCCGGCTGCTTCGAAGAAGAAGAGGAAGGGGAAGGGGAAGAAGTAGTTTGGGGCTAGGGGAGGTTGGAGCTTTCGATTACTTTTGCTCGGCATTGGAAGTTGTATTCCTTTACTATATTCATAAAAGGGCACTTGGGTGGTTATATGCATTTAGCGAGTGTCTAAGTACACTAAAAACGAGGCAATGAATATGAAGTTATGAAATATTGATATGCAAAGAGTACAACAGTCAAATAATATACAAATAGCTCAAAACAATGCAAGTATAAATACACACCTTCCTCAAAATCATCTAGATCTCCTTCCTAACAGCCCAGAAATAATTCCCCCAATCCTCACTCCCAGGCACCATCTTCCACCCAATTCCAGGGATATAAATAGCACCCACACACTTCCACCTCATTCCCTCCGCAATCGCACCCCCACCTCTCGAAACCCCCGTATCAGCAGCCCTCATCAACCCCTCCTGCAACCACCCCTTAACCTCATCCGGGTTAACAAACTTACTCCACTCATGCGTCCCACGCGGCACAACACCAATCGGCCACGGCGCTTCGGCAATAACCTGGTTCAGGATGAATGACGGCAGCGTCCGCGAAATAGTAGACCCAATTAACCAACCGCCGGGCTTGAGTGCCCGCAGACAGTTCGTCAGGAAGCTTAGCGGTGTTGAGGTTTTGGGGTCGATGTGTTCGAGGACTTCGAAGAGGGTCACAATGTCGTATTGCGGGGGAGTGAGTTGAGTTGAGGTAGAGCTGGAATTCGTTGGGGTTGAAGCGGGAGTCGGAGCGCCAGCGTTGCCGGCAAGTACATCTTCCAGTGTCGTGTTAAGATACTTGAAACGGCCTGTGCGCAGGTGCGTGTCGACGGTTGGATCCATGCGCGCGTGCTCGCGCGCCATTTGGATTAGGTCTGTTGAGGGGTCGATTGCGGTCATTGAGGCGGCGAGGGTTGGGGTTGGGGCTGGGCCGGTTGGGTCGAGGGGGATTGTGCGTGCAAGGGACTCGGCGAAGATGCCGCCGCCGCAGCCTACGTCGAGGTAGTTGAGGGTTGCGGCGGTGGAGGTTGGGTTTGGTGATGGGGTGCCTTCTGCTAGGCAGGAGGCGATGAATTCGTGGCGGAGGGGGTTCATTAGGTGCAGGATTCGGGAGTGGCCCATTGGGTCCCACCAAGAGCTGGCGAGGCTGGAGAAGTGGGAGAGTTCATCGGCGGAGACGGAGGATGTTGAGTGCGCGCGAGCCGGGTGTGTTTGGGTTGATGGGGTGGATGCGGGTGCGGAGAAGAGGTAGTTTGGTGAGGGCCTTGATGAGCGGAGGGTTGAGCGGAGGGCTCGGACAGAGAGAGGGAGGGTACGGGGTCGGAGAGAAGCCATTGTGGAGGTAATAGTGTTAGTTGTGAGCGAGATTTGAGGTTCAATGGAGAATTAGCTCCGGCGTTTTGGTGCTCTGGTGAGCTTTGGTTGATGCGGAGACCCGACGATTATCTGTGAGAAAGTGTTATTTGGGGAGTTGCAAGAATAATTGGAAGCAATAAAGGGCATACCAGTGAAGAATATCCCGAGCAATTGAGAAGAGAACCTGGGAAAGTCGCATGAAGCCGATCACCAAATTGGAGATTCGATACCGAGACAAACATGCCAAGACATTTTGGCTACCACTCACGAGTATGAGCTCTATGGCTTCCTTCTCGACTACGGTGTACATGGATTCGATGTGTCAAGGCATTGGTTGTGCTCTATAAATTCGCTTGTACCTCGGTATCATAAACAAACATCTATAAAAACTCCACTTGGTATCACAAAACAAACAATCCTCATGACACATGCGTTCGTCGGCAAGGATGCCCATCATCCCAAGAGACAATTTTCGAATCCCAGTTCCTGCGGCACATGCGGATGAGGAGTTGTCTCCACTTGGCCATCGACATCACTAATCTCAATATCCTCGGAACTGGCTGCGTAGTCCCAGACATGCTGGCCAGACCATGAAGCCAACTGATCCGGCACAGCAGCACCGAGTATAGGAAGGAAATTCCCCGTGGTGATGTTGCAGTCGAGTCCAAGCACGGTTCTGCAACGATCCAGCAATGTAGGGAAGAGGTACGAGGGCGAGCCACGAATCTGAGAAAGCGTGTGAAGTATACCCCACAGCAACTCGTTCGGGTCAATAATCGACTCAGCTAGTCTATGGACAGCTTTTGGCCCAAGAGATCTCGTCACATCGGCGACAGAGGATCCTAGGTCAAAGAGCTTTTGTTCCTATAACATCCAAATCAGTATACAAACAAACAACTTCATCTCATATTGACTTACCATTCCAATCCCATGCGCATCAACAGCCCCCTGTGATGCAGCGCCGATCACGCTCATCACGGATTTACCCACTATCACTGGTAGGTGAAATGGCAAAACTGCGTCATCTTGCGAACCAGGCTTCGTGGCATGGCTCATAGACAGTTTCCACATCATTGCCTGCAGCCACTGTTGCGTGATCAAGATATCAACCTGCTGGATCTCAAGGACTCCCTCTAGGGAAATAGCCTTGCACAAGCTGGATTGGATGGTAGAGGTTGGCGGTCTCTCCAAGATGCCATCCCCGCCACCGGCGGAGATCCAATCATAAAGATTTGGGGTGAGATTCTCAAAGATGTTGATCAGGTTGATGAAGCCATAAGCCAGGATAGGATCTTCCGAGCCAAGAACCTGAGGCTTATGAATAGAGCTGCGCAGCATAACCGGCTTCGCTTGCTGGAGAGCATAACCTCTATTTACAAATCAGCCCCAGTCCAAAATATCACTGTTCCTTCATACTAGGGCCACTCACCTCTCTGTGATAAACAAAAGCCAGAACACACGCCGTCTTTCCTCCGCTTCTTCAACCTCATACTCTGCATACGTCGACTCGCGATGCAACCCAAGTGTAAATGCAAACGAGGTAGCCTGGCAAAAAAAGAACCAAGCCTGGTCCTGACGATCAAGATTCCCATACGAGGCAAACAAAAAGAATGAAGTCAAAAGTGACTCCGTGCTAAGTTCTTCCAAAACATCACAATCCTGCCGCGCCCGCACGGCCTCCGAAAGAAGCTCTTCCCCAGACATCAACGAGTGTCCATCCCCAATGCTCATACTCTGCAAACGAGCGGGATCCGGCACAGGCGTGGCACCATCCAGCTTCAACTGGATATGTGTAGCTGCACACAGGGACGCCAAAAACGCATACCGCTGTGCAGACAGCTGCCCGGGGTGATGGCAATCCAGCCGGAGCTGGTCCGCGCGAACCACCGGCATAATGGGGAACAAATATTTGAGGTATATATTGACATGGACTAGCAGAATTTGCGGAGACAGACGGCGGGCGGCCGGTCTCGCATATCCATAGCCATAACCATTGGCGGATTCGACGGTTGAGTCCGTGGAGCCCGGAGACGAGACGAGGTCCGGGGGTGGCAGGTGGGGGAAAGTATCCGAGAAGTCCTGGCCTGCGAACTGCGAGTCTGCAATTACAAATCCTGGCGAGATGGGCGAGTTGAATTGGTAGTCCGGGATCTCGCCGGTCCCGGCGTCCTCCGGATACATATGCTCGGGAGGGTCTTGCCGGGATGAGAAAGGGTGGATCGGGGCCAGGGGGTACAGGGTGCGGAATTTGGGACCCTTGCGACGGAGGACATCGCTGTAGGAGCAGGACAGAAGTAGCCGTTGGCATTTGTCGCATGGTAGTTCACGGGAACATTTTATTTTGCGACGGCGACAATTGTCACATGCTTGTTTTGGCTTGGATTGTTTGGACATTGTTGAATTGATAAGTCTTTATTAGACTCAATAGAGTCGAAGTTCATGTTAGGGTCGAATATAAAAAAAGAGAGATGTGATGTTTCATCCGGGGAGTTTGGCATGGCCCATTTTAATAAAAAAAGAAACAATAGAAACCTGGGGAAGCGGGGGTCAAGAAAAAGAGAAAAGCCCCGCAAAGGCCCCTGCGTTAGAATTGTGCTTCATATTTTGATCTTATTCTCATTGGCATCCTTATGGATATCACTAATCACTATTCTACCTTCCAAGGTTCTCTACTGGATGGGGGGGCGTTTCCTCTCGGCCCGACTTCAACGTCTACGTAAATCCACAACCCCTCAGCCTCCGAACTATAAAGAATACACATAAGATCATGAAGATCACCATGAAAGTTGACTCATTGAGTGACTACTCCGTTCCATATATCCTTATGGTCTTGTGCAGACACTAATATGTCCAAAATCTCGGCCCGTAAGCAAAGTACCCCCTTGGCCAGGTACGAGTACGGAGTACCTACGGGGTCATTACGGGGCCAAGTCGGCTCTGATGCCTAACATATTTTTGGCGCTGATTGACAGGTGTATTAAGATCATGCGGGATTTTCACCCTCTCTTTAACTGGTTTAGCATAAAGTGGACACCGCTAGGCTATACTGAGTATTCATCTCCGCTTCACATGTCGATATCTGATCTTTGTTGGTTTAGGCATAGTTTGGGGACCTAGACCCCTTCCACCATTGCCGAGATGGCTCCATCTCGTATCCTCGGCTTCCCGAAAATATGAAAAAATAAGAAAAAAAAAGGGGAGGGGAACTATTCTTCTATGTATATCATGATCATGCAGGGGATTGACGCGCATAGGTCTAGTATAGTTTATACTTTACTTTGTATTTTAGTAGAAATAAGACTATTAACCAGTTAAACAATGTTCTTACGAGAGGCCTAGAAATCAGTACAAAATCTTTTGGACATCCGGACAATCCCGTAGTTATAGGATTCTCCGCTAGAGAGAAAGGACTCACCGTAGCTTGCCACATAGAGGATTTTAATATCAGAATGATGAAATTATAATGTATATGCGGGTCTCTGTATATTAATTCCAGGATCTTAGACTGACCCCTTGCACTAAAGTATTGTAGACGGGCATTTGTCGGACAACTGGCCAATCACCAGCCTGGAATTACATGATCTATTATGATCATCGGTCTTTATATGAATTGTAGGATGCTTTGCTTTTACTTGCGCAACTCTTTGCCAAGTTCAGCTATCCGTTAAGATGATAGTAGTGGATTGATTGTTCGACCACCACCCCCGTAGGGACAATAGCTATTACACAGTATGGTATTTTGTGGGCAGAAGATAAAAGATGGATTGTCTAGCTGGCGACTAGCTAACTAATGATTAATGAATCAATAAACAATGGGTAACTGTAAGCGTGAAAGCTAGAAGCTAATTTATTCTAACTACCGGAGGCTATCTAATACCGAGGGCTGAGTCAGCCGGGCGGGTGTCAGGGACCATCCATCCGTTGGATGCGTCCTCGGCCGATGAGAGCTAAGTACAACGGTGGCAGCCGCTCGACGACGGGCCCACATTGATCAGAAGAATAGTGCAAGAAACAGCAAGTAATGGGGAATGGCGGCCGAACGTCTTCCCTGCGGACTTGCCGCAGAAAAGGTTCTGGATCATAACAATGTCGTATGCCGGGGAGGAATCGGCGAGCAGACTCCTCGCAAGGAAGCAACAAAAGCAACAGCAGCGCGGCGCATTGCGAAGGGGCAGAGCAGCCAAAAGGTTAAAAGCCTGATTTTGTAGCATTGGTGCCTGAACATGCCTGAATTATGCCTTCTTTTACATAGACTGGCAGAAATCAAAATAGTTACCTGAATTATAACAGATCACCCGTGGGCCTAGGTAATTCATAAGAATGAAGCTATTCCTACCATATAAATCACCGTATACGCCTATTTCTAGGCGTTGAAGCTATCGCGACTGAACAAATCTCTCGAGATTAATATAAGGAGGCATTTTGTGCGATTCGGCGCGGTTTTCGATGTTGGGGATTCGAAGAAACTGATGATTTGTGGGGTGGAAATAGCTTCATTTTTGAGGAATATAGAGGATTTCAAAGTCTCTTACACAAAGTGTGCTTTTTTTTACTGCCTTTGTATATACCTAAAAAGACATCTAAAAAGAACATCTAAAAAGACTAGCCAAAAATACATGACAAGGCCGTATAACTAGCCAACTATTCTTATATATGGTATATATAACTAGGAATAGCTTCAATTTACAGTATACGGTATAGAGCGGTGTCGAAAGCGGTCTAGAATTCAGGGATTTGACCATTGGCCGCTCTGCCCCTTCACAGCGCATGTCAGCTCGAACTTTGACTGGACAAATCCAGCAGGGGATTATTCGACAACTTTCTGGTTTCAACGCTGGCCCGGAGCTTTAGCCAGAGAAAAGCTCTTGATTGAGTCCACTGGGTGGTCACAGGGGGGTGCAGCGCCGTCGGGCACCGACAAGCCCTAAATCCGCAGCGCCCTAAAGAAATGTCGTGCTCACCGACCTGCGGCGCTCGGTGCATGAGAGTGGCGAAATCGAGGATCAAAGGGGAGCCTGTCACCACCCCGTTCTGTAACGACACTCTTTGGGTACATTAAAGGCCTGTTGTCGGACGACTTCGCGTTGAATGGACAGCGGACTGGTCGAAAACCTCAGTCCAAACCCCAAAATCGACGCGGTACGGATTATTGGTTGTCACGTTAATCAATATGACAAGTTTAGTTTCTTGGTTTGTATTGGCATACCACCAACGGGCATCCTGGCGGAGTTGGTCCAAACTTTCAGAAGCCCCAACCTCAAGAACGAGGGAGGGATACTCGTCGGCGGCCGAATCGACACGGGCATCGTACGGACCGAATGCCCAATCTGGCTCCTTGCTAGATACAACTCCAGGGGTTCATTCCGCGCCTTGGCCGGTAAAATCTCCGTTTTGCAAGGACAAGCCCATAGAATGTAGATAGCCAAGAACGATAGTGCTAAAATTGCAGACTATGCGTTCGTGTTGCCGTCCCGGTAAAACTTTTAATAACACAGAGGACTCGGCGTGCGCCACTGTCACACGAACACCTGGGAAGAGTTCAAGGTCTGCTTCGATCTGTGCGAAGAGGCGTTGCGGAATTTTGTGAACCCAGATATATTGCGATGGTTTGGGGGTATGCGCGTCGAGGGTGTGCCGAGGGCGGCGAGCAATCCGGCGAGCAATCCGTTGAGTAACCACCGACCCATCTTAGGGTATCGGTAGGAACCGTTGACTAACGTCACAGTTTCCCCTACTCGTGCCATTTATACAATTGACGTCAGCCCTACGGCCACATCTAAGGTCCGTTTCTTTACAACCCAGTGTCATAAGCCTCGCCTCCCTAAGGCTCCGAACCCAAACTCGCTATACCCGGCGGATTGGACCCTCGAATCGAGACGTCCTCTTAAGAAGGCGTCAAAGGACTTCGCCTGACAAACAGGAAAGCTACCGGCCGACGTACTCAACGGCTTTCCTAGGAGCCCAAACCCGACGATCGGAGGTGCCCTACAGGACATTCGTCCCCAGACTCTAGAGTTCACCTGGGCAACATCAACAGCCTAGGAACCGTTACAGTTGACACCACTTCCAGCGGCGCTGCAACAGCCCCGCGTAGTCCTACGACCTGGGACAAATTACAATCGATCTTCCGGCCGCGACCGCCAGCCACGTTCGGCGGGTACCGGGACTCCGTTAGGCCTTGATCGTTACTCTGACACTAGCCGAAAGCCACACAATGTCTATGGCACCGATGTAGACTCCTTGGAAATTTCCATCGAGTATCTTGCTAATGACCGCCTCGACGTGCTCGCTCCGCAAGCCACCTCCATCAAGGGCGTCTTCCCTAGCCTCAAGCACGGTGAGGTCTAGTGCGACTAGTACACTCAGACAGCTGTGAACGCAAATTCCAGCGTCAACACCACTATCCCTGCTCTGCTAGGCCATGTCCACGTTTTTGTGGGTGGAGGCACCGTCTTGCCGACGCAGGAGCCAGCTTTGACTACGAAGGAGGCGCGTGGCATGCCCTGGTCTTTGCTCGTCGCCCTTGGTGCCAGTGGTGCTGCCTCTGGGCAGTTGTATCTCGATGATGGAGAGAGCAATCTCCTGATGAGACGCTTGATGTTACTTTCAGGGTCAAGGGGTCCAGCTTAAGTGCCAGGGCAAAAGGTGACTGGGAGGAGTCAAATCCTCTCGCTACTGTTACTATTCTCGGTGTGTCTAAGAAGCCTGGCGCTGTCAAGTTTAATGGTGAACCTGTGCCGGCTTCTGGGGTGCACTATAATGCTACATCACATGTGTTGTCTGTTGGTGGGCTGTAAAAGTTGACTGGGGATGGTGCTTTCAATGGGAATTGGACTTTAAAGTGGTAAGTAGTAGACTGTGGTATTCCTTTCACATGCAAAGCTGCTGTCTTCTCTATAGTTTATCCCAGCGGCAGTCAGATTCACCTCTATTCATTTACAGCAATAATGGACTTCTGTTGTATAATTTCTCCCTTCCTAGCATCTCCTAGTTGTCTTGTTTTCGTCCTACTTACTATCAAAAGAGCGAGCATCCATTGTCAGTCCCGGTGACCCTGTTTAACCTTACTTCAGCTGAGTGGAGAACCGCACAACCCCCGCTACCCCAAATGGCCCATTTAAAGATGCACAGATTGCAATCTCCCATGTCGGCCCGAATTATGAAGCCCATACACATACGCGTCATCATATCTCTACTATGCCTCGGGGTTTCCCATCATACGACGGAGGACATACCCCAAATAATCCTAGCAGCATCTACTGAGATTCTGAATATCTACTCATCCCCGACTAAAACCCGAAAGTATCACCTAGGTAAAAGATCGACATCATTTAAAACGAGCCAATGACCCATTGCAACCCCTCTCCATCCCCTCATCCCGGCAAATTTGGCGTACGGGCCCCCGCACGTTGATTCGATCAAAGCTTGTGTCAGGGGCTTCGGCGGGGATCATTTTAATTTCGCACATGCAGTGCGCTAGCCTTGTGATCCGCTAATCATTACTATTGCAGCTTTGCTTTTTCCCGACAGGGCTGGGGGAAATCGGGATCTGACGAGTTAGATGTGAAGGATAGTGGAATTTCTGTTTAGGGAGATTATTTGTCAATTAATGGAGTTCTCGACCATACAGATTACAGATTCCTCTCTCTCTATTCCTTAGTTCCCGTCTTTGATTCTGCTGTGGCTGTGGACAGGCATTTTGACTGGATTTCTTTTCTTTTCTTCTCTTTTACTTCTTTATTTAACCGGATGCATCTGTGAAGATCTTCATCGGGGCTTTTGGCGTTTATCGGCTTAAGCCATATTCCCTCCCGGAGTCCGATTTCAATGGCTACTGGTCTCTGGTTTTTCCGTCCGTCTGCCGTTGTATGCATGGCTTTTTCTGGGGTATTAATATCGAACCCCTTGCAGCACCTTTTATTGAAATACCCCTTTGCTAAACGACTTTCCTCTGCTTTACTTGAGTTACTGGCGCTGGAATATCTACAAGATGGTTCTCGCACGATTTGCTTGGCTTGCTGGCTTGGTTAGCACTGCCATTGCTGCCACTCCAGCTGAATGGCGATCACAGTCGATCTACTTCTTGCTCACTGATCGCTTTTCCCGAACGGATGGCTCGACTACTGCTGCCTGTGATACCGCTGATAGAGTAAGTTTTCAATCTATATCGACTCTTGTAACATGGTGACAGAGCTGACTGTATACTCACTGGATAGAAATACTGTGGCGGAACCTGGCAAGGAATCATAGATAAGGTCGGTAATGCTCTAATCCTTCTTATATCTTCCAACTAACCAATCTCTTAGCTAGATTACATCCAAGGAATGGGCTTTACGGCCATTTGGATCACTCCTGTGACCGGTCAATTGCCTGAGGACACCCCATATGGAGAGGCCTATCACGGATACTGGCAGCAGGACGCGTGAGTATCACAAAGCCGAAAAGACGACACTTAAAGCCTGCCTCCTTACTGACCCAATTTAAGCTATGCTCTCAACTCGAACTACGGAACCGCAGACGATCTCAAGGCCCTCGCTGCAGCTTTGCATAAACGCGACATGTATCTCATGGTCGATGTAGTAGCAAACCACATGGTAAATGAAATCATCGACATCTCCAATCATCCGGGCTAAGACTGACATGTATTGGATAAAAAGGGCTACGATGGCGCAGGTACCGACGTAGATTATACCAAATTCAACCCCTTCAACGATGCGAAGTATTTCCACCCCTACTGCCCAATCACCGATTACAACAACGACACTATGGCGCAGAACTGCTGGCTTGGCGATAACACGGTTTCCCTGCCAGATCTGGATACCCAGAGTACGCAGGTGCAAAATATGTGGTATGATTGGGTTGGATCTTTGGTTTCCAACTACTCGAGTAAGTTGTTTTCCTTCAAACCCCCCTGCCTCAGCAAAATATATATCATCATATCCAGAAACTAACCAATATATAGTCGATGGTCTCCGCGTCGACACAGTCAAACACGTCCAGAAAGATTTCTGGCCCGGCTACAACAAAGCCGCGGGCGTCTACTGTGTAGGCGAGGTCCTTGATGGCGATGTTGATTATACTTGTCCATACCAGGAGGTAATGGACGGAGTGCTCAACTACCCAATGTGAGATCCTTGCCCGTGAAGTTTACCAGATACACACGGAGAACCGATGCTAATTCATGCAAATAGTTACTATCCTCTCCTCAAAGCCTTCCAATCTACCTCTGGAAGCATGACCGACCTATACAACATGATCAACACCGTGAAATCGACCTGCAAGGACCCAACCCTTCTCGGAAACTTCGCGGAGAACCACGATAATCCTCGCTTTGCCTCGTAAGTGGAAATTACATTTAATCAACGGATAAGAGTCCATTCCGTACGGCTAGAAGCTAATTTCTCCCTTCGGGAACCCAGCGTCACTGATGACATGGCCCTCGCCAAGAATGCAGCCACATTCACCATCATGACAGATGGCATTCCTATCATTTATGCAGGACAGGAGCAGCACTATAGTGGTGGCGCGGACCCAGCTAATCGCGAAGCTCTGTGGTTGTCCGGATTTGACACAGACAGCGAGCTGTACAAGCTTATTGCGACGGCCAATAGTGCTAGAAATCAGGCCATTGCTAAGGGTACCAATTATACTATTTACCAGGTACGTGTCTCTCTCTCTCTATGTTCGATAAAAAAAAAGGAAAAAGCAAAAGAAGTCTGGATAAAAAGCTAACTCGGTCCTCACAGAACTACCCCATCTACAAAGACGACAGCACCATCGCCATGCGGAAGGGCTATGCCGGTGGGCAGACAATCACTGTCCTATCAAATCTCGGTGCAAGTGGGAAAGAGTACTCGGTTTCGATTCCCGATACTGGATTCGCGTCTGGTGCGAAGTTGACCGAAGTTGTGTCCTGTACTAATGTTACTGCCGGTGAGAGCGGGAAGGTGTCTGTTCCCATGTCAGGTGGAGCGCCCAGGATTCTGCTCCCCACATCTTTGCTTGAGGGCTCGACTCTGTGCTCGTAGACTTCGGCTTCGGCGTATCGGTGGTCGGGCCGAGGCCTGATCGCCCCTTTTCCTCTTCCGAGAGCTTGATAGATCTTTCTTCCCTTTGCTTTGACAATAGGGGAAAGTGTATATATGAATTGATTTGTGTTTTTATACTTCCTTTTGAATGGATCATATCATACCGTTTTTTTGTTATTTAGATTGTAGAGATGAGAGTTCAAGCTGAATAACCATGCATTTTGAATCCAACTATATGTAAAGATTTACTACTTTAGTAGATAAAACCAACGGACCAAAGAAGTCGGTTGCAGTTGAACAAGTCATAACCATTTCCATTCGTGCTTTTGCTATTACGATCCTCCACTACAAAAGAATACAACACAACACCCGAGTCCCAACAGATGAAAGCTCATTATCAACATGCACCAACCCCAATAATCTATAAACAGAAGAAGAAGAAAAACCTAACCCCATAAACCCAACCGCATAATCTCATCACCAATCATGCAAAGCCCTGGGCACTAGACCAATAGGCATAGCTCCACCGGTAGTACCAGTCGTAGGAGAATGGAATAAATCCGGCGCCTCAAACGCAGGCTGCGAAGCCGCATAACCAGGCATCATTTGCTCCAGACAATTATACCCCTCAACCAGGGAATCCAAGCCCTCCGCGCTAGACATAAGCTGCGAGATATCCATACCGGAACGATTATGTTGCGACGGGCTGAACATCTGCACGTTCTTGACGTCGGCGACCGGCGACGACGACGAATGCGATCCCGCAGCCACAACATTAGTTGTCTCCGAGTACCGCCGCTGCACTTCGCCGACAATACACGCGATCCGATATGAGAGGTTGTCGCCGCCGGGCGCGAGGTGCAGTAGGAAGCCGCGGACTTGGCTGATTAGTGCATCGGAGAGCGTATAGTCGCATAGAGTGAGGGCGGCGTAGCCGACGATGAAGTAGACGTGATCGATTAGAGCGGGTGCGGTGGTGAAGCGCGTTTGGAGGAATTGGGTTATTATTAGGCGGGCGGTGCCGCATATTTCTGGGATGAGGCGCTCGTTGTCCGGTTGGAGGCGGGCGGCTGTTCGGTGGAGGAGGAGTTGACAGAACCAGAGATTTAGGTTGAGAGTTGAGTCTTCGCTGGTGGCTGTTGGTGGTATGGTTGTTAGATTGATATTTTTGAGGAGGGGGGGGGGGTGGGATAGAGTGGAGGAGCGATGTACTTAAGAGATGTGCCCATTCCATTTTCCAGCGCTCCAGTTCTTCGTATTCAGTTTCTGCGAATTGGACGCGGGGCTGGTTGTGTTGGAGTCGGAGAGCGATGCGATATAGTTGAATTTCCGCGACGATTCTTCCGTCTTCTGGTGTGGCAGCTGCGTGTTCTAGGATGCGGGGGCATTGGTTGATGTATTGTTGTTGGATGTTGACTGTGCGGCCATTCGCGAGAGCAGAGCTGTTGGGTTGGTGTTAGATTGTATATCTGACGGGGTTCCTGAACAGAACATACTGTAGCTGGGTTGAGCAGAGTGTATTCCACAGACGCAACTGAGCAAGTAGCTCGTCTGGATTTAAATTGTCTCCTGGCAAGGTATTGAGGAAGTTAAATGAGATGAGGGCATGGTTGATTGAGATCCCGCTCAGTAACCAGTCATCCATAAGTCCTTCTTTATGAACGGAAGTAGAGTATAGACAAAGCAATGTCAAGGCCTGTAGCATATCGCTTGTCATGGGCGGGGGCTTCCACAACACCTTTGCCACGGCATGTTGTACACAGATTGAT